GGGGGGGGAATTAAGAAAAATCCTTTTTTCCCTGAAGTGCTTCGGTTTCTCCAGGCTTTGGGATGAACGTTTGGGTTGTGATAGCCAAGCTTATAATTTTTGCCATGTCTATGAAATACCATCTGAGTCTTGCAATGTTAAAAGTCTCTAAAAAAATTTCTACATGAAGCAAAGAGTGACAAAGCTCAAGATCCACTGAGTGAAGGAGCAGCTTCCAGCTCAGTGTGGGGGGCCTGAACAGAGCATCCCCCACCTGGAGCCTGGGTAGGGGACCGGTGCCCTGAGCACCTGAGTCCATCCTGCACTGTCAGGCACTTAGGGAGTTGAGCCAGGAAGATTAAAGAGAGAAGAGACTCTGACAAGCAAAGGAGACACAACAGCGAATAGACAAGAAGTGGGTGAGATAAGGATGGAGACTAGGACCAAAATAAGACGCTGAGAAGACAGGCTGGAGAGGCTGTGAACTAAAAGGACCTGGTGTGGGGAAGGAGAGGAAGCAGGACAAATGTGTCTGCAAGAAACTGTAGTAAACACAAACCCTTCCAAACCAATGCAGGTACCTCAGACACTCCTTGTTTTTCCCTGGTCAGCAAACTGCTGTGGAAGTGTGCTTGCAAGATATGTGCTTACATTCCTTTGTAGCAGAAGACTCCAATTTGGATGAGGACGTTCTCATTTTAAAAGCCTTGCACTGACATAAGTAAAAAGATACAGAGAAGATGTGGTATCTCCCACAGAAACCATCTATAAATGTATGGGTATGTTCCATATCAATATTTGTGATAGTTGTGAGACATTAATGTCATGATAATGTGACTGGGAGGATACTGCAGAGCCCACAGCCAGCTATTACAGTTTCCTTTTTTCGCCATGTTTTCTGCTGTGACTTGAGAAAATGAAGCACAAAAAATGCTGAATTAGAAGACAGTAGTTCCCTCAAAACTGATACGCACAGTTGTTACTGCCTGGGAGAAGGGGGTAGGTTGGGGTCACTGTGACCAAGTCCTTTGTTTCCTGAGTGACTTGTATCAGAAGAGTCAGAGAATGACAACAAAAATTGCAAATCTATTTTCATTTTCATGTAAAATAACTTTTTTAGTAGAGTATAAGTCCTGGCGTTTTTCAATGCCATGTTTTACAGGACTCTCTGAGAATTGATGGCTTGTGGAACAAGACACATTTAGTCTTGGTAACATAATGTCATAGATACTATCATAGTTTGTATAATAGAGTTGTTCAAAAGCATGTGAACTTCTGGCAGCTGTATTTCCTTTAGTAATGTCATAAGGCAGCAAGTTCCACAGTTCAGTTCATATAGTCTATTAAAAAAAAAAATCATTTTATCCCTCTTAAGCCTTTGTGGCCTTTTCATCTCAAATGTGTCTCTTCTCATTTATTAGGAGATATGGGAAGCAGAAGTTCCCATGGCATTTACTCTTTATAATTCATACTATAGATACCCTTTACATGTTCTCCTCATGGCTTCTCATTACACCACTGGACATACCTCAGGAAACTCAGCAGCTGCCTTAGTAGTTTTATCCCCATGATGAGAGTGTAGTTGACTCAGAGTGTTTGGACCCTGCACAAATTTTCAAGTACACTTACTCGCATGCAACACAGCCCCTCCAGCTGTGACCTTGGACCTTTTTTCTCCCTTTCTGCCTCAGAATACCAAAAGTGTATTTTTACACTTAAATTTGATAGGTAAAAAATAGAA